TATTGTTTGCCACTAATGTTAAATTATTTATTTTAAGGAATTTTCAATTAAAATACAGTTTATTTCCTAACAAAACTCATATGAACCCAAGTTTAAAAGTTTGTAAGCGACTACAAAAAAATCAACAAATTTTCACCCAAATTTCAAACATTTTCTAAGGAGTGTTAGAATTTTTTTGAGAACACAGTTTTATAGCTCATTTAATTTCAGTCTCCTAATGTGCAAGTTTCAAGTGGCTAAAGATTACGGTTGAATTTTTAGAATTTTTTTCGCCGAAGGTGTTGCGGGTTTCTTCCATATAAATTAATTAATTGTGGTTATTCGCTATATGGAAGCAAATGCGACCAAAAAAATCGAAAAAATTTACGTTAATTTTTAGCCACTTCAAACTTGCACAATATAAGACTGAAATTGAATGAGCTATAAAACTGTGTTCTCAAAAACTCTAACACACCTGAGAAAAAAGTTTGAAATTTTGGGTGAAAATTTGTAGAATTTATTTGAAGTCGCTTACAAAGTTTTAAACTTGGGTTGATATGAGTTTTGTTAGAGAATAAACTGTATTTTATTTGAAAATTCTTAAAAATACATAAATAATTTAACTTCTTTTGGGTTGTTTGTGTTTCCGACAGGGTAGGAGTATGATGTATTGTGGAACGATTTTCCGTCATCCCTTGTCAAATTTGGTTTGGAGACAAACCGGTTTCGGCGTTGTGCCATCTTCAGTGTAATTTTTCGTTCGTAAATAATTTAACATAAGTGGCAAACAATATCACTTTGAAATGGGGGTGCTAATGTATTGGCAAATCTACGTATATATATATACATGTACATAGGAATGGATGTGGGGTGACTGACAGATGGCAAAAACGGTGGTAAAAAGCAGACGCCATTGAGCGTATAGTGCCTTCGAAGTTTAATTGTTTTAACTTTTACCTATTTTTTAGAATGTAATATATAAATCATAAGCAATGAACAACTAATTAAAACAACGAGTTAATTTATTTCAATTGGAAACGAACAATTGAGTGAAGAACACACGTTTGGGTAAGGAATTCCACAAAATTGGGGGCTCGTCCGCGGATATCTACCCGTGTGTGAGCTGGAATAGGCAGAAATCAGATGTTTTTAACCACCTAAGAAGCAAAGAAATTCCTATGCAGAATTGTGGTGTCTATGCATAAGGAAAATATACGAATCACCAACGCACAATCCAAGTTTGAGGTTATTTTGGGTACATCCAGCATAATAAGTTTCCAATACGAAGTTGAAAAGCAGCGACGCGGCGCCCGACCAAGTAAGTAGCAGCAACCGAAATTGGTATAGCAGGGCAAAAGGCAACGCCAGAAAAGCAAACACAGTAGTCGAGAGTCATATCTACGTATGTAAAGAAACAACAACAATTTTTTCAAACATCGTAACCGACAACATCAAAAAGCAATGACGCGGAGTCTCATCTAAGCAGCAAGCAGCAGCACGAAGTACGACCAAATAAGCAGAAAGAGAAAACGCCAGAAAAGCAAACACAGTAGTCGAGAGTCATATCTACGTATGTAAAGAAACAACAATTTTTTCAAACATCGTAACCGACAACATCAAAAAGCAATAACGCGGAGTCTCATCTAAGCAGCAAGCAGCAGCACGAAGTACGACCAAATAATAAGGGTGGGTAACTCTGTAAATTTTGGTGTGCTGACTCAGTAACTCCAACTCACTTTAATGAGTCAGCACAGAGAGCTGGCACAAGTGTGCTATCGCACAATTGGTATGTGCATCGAAATTATTGACGATGTTAGTAATCGAAATCGATTTAGAAAAGGTTATCCTTAGCTTCTATTCGTAGCTGGCCGGCAAAATTTTAGAAAGCTGATTTCAACTGGTGAGTTCATTTGCGAATAAATTCCCTACTTAGTTTTGCTTGAGAGTTGTCACATAAGAATCTGTTAAATGGGCTATGCATGTAAGCGGTTACCCAACGCATAGCACTTCACATGTAGAATTCTGTTTGGTTTTGACTTTTACGTAAAAAGGGTATAGCAGTGCAAGTATGCATAACTGGGCTATTCGCCTTGCTTCTTGTTAAATTTGGTAGTCGTATATTCAACTGATGGTAAGTCTCGTGACGCCATCTATTATGGTACTTTTTGGACGATCGTATTGTGTGAATGTGTCAGCTCATCAATTGAGTTACCACATCGACACAGTTGTAAACAATGCAGCCGAACCGAGCTATGCAAGTGTCAGCACATCAACTGAGTTACCATATCGACACTGAAGCACACTGAGCTATACATTGTCAGCACATAAACTGAGTTACTGAGTTACAAATTTTTTCAGAGGTGAGTCTGAGCGTGCGGCACATTTCTAAGAGTCAGCACAGTAACAGTAAAGTTATATTACATTTACATTGGACCAAAATGCGTGATTTGAAATCAGTCATTTGAAGGTGTTTACACTGCTTGATCCGCATTTGCTTTGACTTCTCATCAAATGAAAAGGGAAGACAAAAACAAAATGTATGTAAACAAACACTACATTTATTATATTGTTAACGCTTTTTGGACACAAAAAGGCAATTATTCTTTGATTAAACTAAAAATGTGTAAAGCTCTTGTATAAATTAACAATTTTTACACACAAATTTCAAAGATTTATTTATTTCGTTGTGTTTGTTTTGTGTTTGAAAAATTCCAAATGTCAAAGACAAACCAAAGCTTTTGTGGAACTTTTGTTTCTGAGTGCGTTCAATAAAATAGTACGGCAATTGGAACGCATTTGTTTCGTGATTTTGTGTAAATGCGTCGAAATGCGTCATTCTGGAAATGTGAATTTGTATAGAGAAATGCGTGATTTGGCCTCGCATTTGAGGTTTCTCGCCCAAATGACGCATTTGGGCTCAATGTAAATGTAATATTACCCACCTTTACCAAATAAGCAGAAAGAGAAAACGCCGAAAACGCAGACACAGTAGCCGAAAGTCATCTTCGTATCAAAAAAGCAAAAACCCGACAAAATCAAGTCTCATCTAGTAAGCATAGCGAATTTGTAAGCAAAGCCAACAAGCAGCATCGCGAAGTCCGACCAAATAAGCAGCCACAGAAAACGCCGAAAACGCAAACACAGTAGCCGATAATATTCTAAAGAAGCAAAAACATTTCTTTCAAACTCATCGTAATTGACAACAGCAAGAATCAGCGACGCAAATTACGAAAAGTAGGCAGCAAGCATTGAAATAGTAACAGCAGGACAGCGGAGAACTGAGAGAGAAGAAAAATCATGAAAGTCTGCAGTAAAGTAAAGTAAGTAAATCTAATAAGAATCAAAATAGTGAAACAAGATGTACAAGCAGAGGCAGAATACAAAAGAAGTTCAGGTTGAAAGAATATAAGAAAACCAAAGTTGTGAAGCACGAAATAAAGTGTTAAGAAAAATGTTGAAAGAAGTGAATTTGTAAAGAAGAAAATAAAAGTTGTAAAACACAGAATAGTAAGAAGGATATTTAAAGAAGTTGTGAAGAATATAAAATAGGCTTTCATTGAAATTTGAAGAAGTGAAGTTGAAATAAAGAAAATTGAAGTTGTAAGGATGAATGTGAAGAAGGAATAAGTTGAAGATAGAACAGAATTGAATAAAAGCTAACGAAAGAGAAAGAAGTTTACTGAAAAAGAAGTTCAATGTGTAAAAGAGTACAATAGAGTAAAAAGTTTTACGTTTTACGATTCGATTCTGGGTTAGCGAATTCGAAGTAAATGCGGACATAGTAAAGTGGAATGAATTACAGCGATTTGTGTACGGTAAGCAGCTGCTACGCGGAGCAGCTAAGCTTTTTGTTAGGAGCCAAACTAATATTTGTAATTGGGAGATGTTGAAAAATGCGTTAATTACTGAGTTCGGTTCCAAGCTGTGTTCGTCAGATGTTCACAAGGTGTTAAAAAATCGGCGAAAGCTCGCCAGTGAAACTTTTCTCGAATATCTATACAGCCTCATGGAGATAGGCAAGCAAATAAGTTTAGATGAAGCAAGCATCATAAATTATTTTATTGAGGGAATCCCAGATTCAAAATTCAATAAGAGAGTTTTATATCAGGCGAAAAGTATAGAGGCTGTAAAGGAGCAAGTTAAAGTATATGAAAAAATACGCAAATCGAATGTGGTTTCAGGCAGATGCGGGGTAAACGAAGTTGCGAAGGATAATAACGGGTCATATGTAAAGCCAAAGGAAGAATCTGTCAAACGATGTTTCAAATGTGGGGATAAGTCCCACTTAGCAGCTCAATGTCCTAAAAAGCAATTTAAATGCTTTAAGTGTAACGAAATGGGTCACCGCCCATTCGAATGTAAGGGCAAGGGATCCAAGGGAGCGAAGAAAGAAGCGAGCACCGTCAATACATTGGGGAATGACGTTTTTCAACCATGTATTAACAATGTTAGGGAGGAGCTGCATTTTAAGACAGTGCGCATACGGGATTTTAAATTCGAATCATTGATTGATTCGGGGTGTTCTCTGAACTTAATGGGTGCGAAGCTAAGCTAAGTAATGACAGAAGGGAGCCTTATAGCGCCTGCCCGAATGTCATTGAGACTGTCGGGAGTTTAAACACATGGATGCATGTAGATGGGTTATCATTAAATATCACATTTCATGTAGTTAGAGAACAGGACATACAATTTGCGGGAATTATAGGAAAAGACATTTTGAAGGATGTGGACATTATTTTGACAGAAGAGGAGGTTGTATTTAGGAAAAAAGCTTTGGCAGTCAACCCAATAGGTAACGACAGTGAAACAAGGGCGGTTGAATCTAGGAGTTATGTTAACGAAGTGAAGATACAGGAACCGCAAGTAGATACAACAAAGGGGTGGATTAAAGAGTTTGATGTTCTGAACCTGAGCGAGATTAACGAAAGAGAAACACTGAGCCTGGAACACTTAGATAAAGACATGGCTAGGGAAGTGGAAAATTTAGTTAAAGGGTACTTACCGGCAAAGATGAGGTACCTGTTTACCAACAACCGCGGCGAATGTCCTTTGAAGATCGCCGGTTTGTCGACAAGCAAATCGAAGATTGGTTAAAGGAAGGTATAATTCAGCCTAGTAGCTCCAACTATGCCTCGCCGGTTGTGGTCGTTCCTAAAAAAGATGGGGGTAAAAGATTGTGCTGTGACTATAGGCGACTGAATCGGAAAATTGTAAGAGACAATTTCCCAATGGTCATTATGGACGACGTTTTAGACAGACTTCAGAGTGGTCGGGTTTTCACGACACTGGATTTATCAAATGGATTTTACCATGTCCCAGTGGAACCACAATCAAGAAAGTATACAACGTTTGTAACTAGCAATGGGCAATATGAATTCCGTGTCGTACCGTTCGGGATATCAAAAGTTTTCTGTAGATACATCAACGCTGTGTTTCGGACATTAATCCAGAAAGAAACAGTTATAACATACATGGACGATTTAATAATTCCTTCAAAAGACGAGGCGGAGGGTATAGAAAAGTTGGAAGAGGTTTTACTGTTAAGCGCAGCATACGGTTTAAAAATTAAGTGGAAAAAATGTCAATTTCTTAAGCGGAAAGTCGAGTTTTTAGGATACATAATAGCAAATGGTACTGTACAAATATCAGAAGAAAAGACTGCCGCTGTGAAAAATTTTCCTTTACCGTCAGACAAAAAAAGTTTACAGAGATTCCTCGAGTTGACGTCGTATTTTCGACGCTTTATAGCAAACTTTGCTTTGGTAGCTAGACCCTTATCTAATTTGTTGAGAAAAGATATGGTTTTCAAAATAGGTGATGAAGAAATAGCAGCCTTTCAGCAGCTGAAAGCTCATTTAGAGAAAGCGCCAGTGTTAAGATTATTTTCCCAACACGCCGTTACTGAAGTACATACTGATGCTAGTAATTACGGATACGGAGCCATATTATTGCAAAAGGATCCAGATGATCAACAACTACATCCGGTTCAGTATATGAGCCGGAAAACCAAACCAGTAGAAGAGAATTACCCAGCGTATGAGTTGGAGGTACTTGCAATCATTGAGGCCTTAAAGAAGTGGAGGATATACTTACCAGGCATACCCTTTAAGATTGTAACAGACTGCAACGCCTTTACAATGACCCTCAAGAGGGAAGATGTTCCACCAAAAATTGCGAGATGGGCGCTATTTCTCCAAGACTTCAATTACGAAATCGAACATCGGGTGGGAACAAGAATGGCACATGTAAACGCGTTGAGTAGGGTGTACTGTTTAATGCTAGAAGACTCATTAAAGTACAGGCTTAAACAAGCACAGATGCAGGGTGAATGGACGAAGGCAGTTCGTAAAATACCAGAGAAGGACGAATTTGAAGACTTTGACTTGATTGTAGTGCCAAGGCTTATGGAAGATGAACTCATGAAAATGGCACACAGGCAGGGTCCTTTCTCGACAAAGAAAACTCAAAGCTTGTTAGAAAAATCTTTTTATATCCCACAAATCAACGCCAAAGTCAGCCAGATAGTCCGAAGCTGTATCGAGTGTATCGTTAGTGAGGCAAAATCTGGAAAGAAAGAGGGATTCCTTAATTCTATAAATAAAGAAGATAAACCTTTAGGTACTTATCATATCGACCATGTAGGACCGTTAGAGATGACCAGTAAGTCGTACAATTACATTATAGTTGTGGTTGATGCTTTTAGTAAATTTGTTTGGTTATACCCTTCAAAGAATACAGGTGCAGAAGCTGTGGTGGAAAGGCTCAAAAAGCAAGCCACAGTATTTGGTAATCCCAAACGCGTAATAACTGACAGGGGGCAGCATTTACGTCAAATTTATTTAGAGAGTATTGTCAGTGTGAGGGTATTCAATATTTGCTCATTACGACAGGAGTTCCGAGGGGAAATGGGCAAGTCGAAAGAATGCACAAGATAGTAATTCCGATGTTGTCGAAATTGTGTGCAGAAACGCCCTCTAGTTGGTACAAGCATATAGATCGTGTACAGCAGTTTATTAACAACACGCCACCCAGAAGTACAAAACATGCCCCTTTTAAGGTACTTACAGGACTCGAAATGCGCATGGCCAACATGCCAGAGCTACAAGAGTTATTAGAGAAGGCCGCTGTCGATGAATTAGATGAATATCGTGACGAAGTGAGGAAGCAAGCCAAAGAAAATATTGCTCAAATTCAGGAAGAAAATCGTAGGTCGTACAACCTACGTCGTAAAAAGGAAACAAACTACAAAGTAAACGATTAAGTTGCGATAAAAAGGACACAGTTCGGCAGCGGTTTAAAACTGAAGCCAAAGTTTTTAGGGCCATACAAGATTGTTAAGGAACTTAAGAAAGGACGATATGAAGTCGAGAAGGTAGGGGATCACGAAGGACCGGGTAGGACGTCAACTATTGCAAAATATATGAAAAGGTGGGCCAACTCATTCGAGGGCGAATGAACTCAGGACGGCCGAATGTAGGACTGGATGTGGGGTGACTGACAGATGGCAACTATGTAGTTAAACTGAACGAACACTAAACGAAACGCCACGACCGAACGAACAATTTGAAACGAGGACCGAACGGACACTTCAAGTCGGACGGTGGTAAAAAGCAGACGCCATTGAGCGTATAGTGCCTTCGAAGTTTAATTGTTTTAACTTTTACCTATTTTTGGAATGTAATATATAAATCATAAGCAATAAACAACTAATTAAAACAACGAGTTAATTTATTTCAATTGGAAACGGAAAATTGAGTGAAGAACACACGTTTGGGTAAGGAATTCCACATACATATAAATGGTGCGAAGAATGTACAGTAACTCATCAATTGAGAACGGCTGGGCCGACTTAGCTCAATTATTTTTTTTTGGTCACTCGTAATTGCCGGGAAAAGGTTTTTACGAAAGAAAATTTTGGGAGACCCCCCGGGAAATTGGGAAAATCGAAAATTAGTTTTTTGTGAGGAATTTTGTGTGCAATTGTTTCGGAATGGCTTTTCGAATGGAAAAATAGAAAATTCTTAGTGGGAAACTCGGAAAATTCCGGAAGAACGCGAAAAATTTGAATATTTTTTCGACGAAATTTTGCAAGTCGCAAGATTTTGGACGATGTAAAGGTGGAGAATTCGTTGTGATGCTTGGAAAATTTCAGATAATTGTGAAATTCATTGTGAGCATGAATCAATTGGGAACAATTTTCTCCTATGTTTTTAACCGATTCGAATGGTAGTTGCTTTGTTGGAAAAGTGTTAGAGGAGGAGTGCACTAAGTTTTAATTTTTCCGATAGGTGGAGGGTAGTGCTACGCTAAACAATCGCATTTATGGTCCCATTTGTTTCAAACGCGGAATATGTATTCGGTGAATAAACACAAATAAACCTGCCAAAAATAGACCCGATAGGTACCTCCAAACTCGAGTTATGGCAAATTCAGTTCCATTAAATATGTTCCCTTTTCTATCTATACTAATTATATAAGGAGAAGTCCCTTTTTTTACCTTCCTTTTATTAACTCGGGATGTAACTATGTAATATTGATGCGCCTAAAAGATGCAGCGATTTCTATTCTCAAGTTACATACCTGATGACGGTACGAATAGCAATTATAATAGGGAGGTTTTAGTTTTTTAAACTATAATTTTATTTATTTTGTAACAGGTAATATCGCGAACGGCAGGTCCGGCTTTCATGCAATTTTGTATATAAATAGCTCCTTATTTTTACAAGAGGTGATCTCGCGAACGGCTGTACCAATTTTTTTGAAATGTTAGACTAGGGTGGCCAGATGCGCTGATTTAATCAGTACATGTGCTGATTTTTTTCTATTGAACTGATTTTTAAGAGCCCGAAATCAGTACGCAAAAATTACTGATTTTTTGAGTTTGTACTGATTTTTACATTTAATAAATACTTTTGTAAATTGGTGTAATTGACATTTGCTTGAGGTTTACATGTTCAAAACAATGGTTTTTGACAACTCATACGTGTGAGCAGATTGAAACCATTATTAAAAAGGTGTCAGCTTGCAATTGTTTCGTTTCCTAAGATTTCGCAAAATAACAAACTGTTTGGATTCAACCCAACCCAACTTCACGATTTGCAGGTTTTACACGATTTACAGGAAAAGCTGATTTCGCCATTAATAAATCTTATGCAAGGTGGTGGTGAGTTAATCAAATATTAAGTACACTGAGAAGATGACAATAAGAGATAATGTTTTGGATTATAATTAAACATCCACTGAGAAATCGGCTGTCAGTATGTCAAACTTAAGACAACTACTGCTACGCTGCAATGTAAGTTCTAAAAATTTGGAAAACGTGCAAACTACCGACACTTGGATGTGATATATGTAGCTTAACTTTGATTTTTGATGTTCAACCACCTGTAATTTTACTTGCACATACACATTTAACACTATTAAATTGCATTCGTACTCGATAATTCGTTTGGCGATAATTCGGTAATATACCTTTTAGTCAACATTTTAATGTGAATTTTGTATTTTATAAGCCCACCAACTAAATATGTTTTAAATTTGTAGCTTTAAATATGCAAACAAATTCTGACTCGAGCTCGTCTTCTACTGAAACTGAATGGGATACAATTTTTTTTTTTTTTTTTATAAATTTTCTAGAAAGTTTGATACTTCAACTCACATGTCTTGTTATAGAATTAACTACATTTTTATAAGAAATTTAAATTAAGTAAGGAAAGAAAAATACTTCTAAGCCTAAACAGCACCGGTTGTCAAGTCATAGCGTACGCCGATGACATAGCAATCGTTGCAACGGGCAAACATCTTCAGGTCCTGAGTGAGTTATTGCAAAACGCACTCGGTCTGGTAAACATCTGGTCCAAGGAATGTGGACTTAGTGTCAATCCTGCCAAGACAGAAATGGTACTTTTCACAAGGAAGTATAAAACTCCCTTATTTAAACCTCCCGCCCTAAACGGGGTGGCACTCACTCTCTCAACCGAGGTGAAATAACTTGGTGTTATTCTGGACAGGAAGCTGAACTGGAAGCGAAACACTGAAGACCGCTCCAGGAAGGCCAATACTGCCCTGTATGCCTGCAAAACGGCTATAGGCAAAAAATGGGGAATAAAACCACATATAGTACACTGGATATACACAGCTGTGATAAGACC